GTTCCAGCAGCTGCCGGAGCCGGGCGGTGCCGGAGCTGTGGCTCGTTTTCTGCTGGAGATCTAGACAACAGCGAAAACCCGGGTAGCGTTACCACACAGCTTCGTGTGCTCCTGACGGGAGTCGTGACCAGAACTGCCTTTCCGAAGAGTTACAATGAAAGGATGAAAACCGCTGTTTCTGTTTTCCCCTACTGAAGTTGTAAATATTCTGTGGAATTACAACTTCCAGGAACAATTCTCGATTTATGTTTCATGGGGGTGATGGTGCGGTTACTTCATGAGCAGTGCAGAACATGAACCAAAACCCACCCCCCGCCCCTGCAGAATCACAGAATTGTCGGGGTTGGCAGGGACCTCTGTGGGTCACCCCGTCCAACCCCCCTGCCAAAGCAGGGTCACCTCAGCAGGCTGCACAGGACCTTGTCCAGGCGGGTCTGGAATATCTCCAGAGAAGGAGACTCCACAGCCTCTCTGGGCAGCCCGTTCCAGGGCTCCGTCAGAAAGCCGGTTCTGCTGTCACAGCCGTGTTTGTGTGGCCTGATAAACCCATGGCGTTACGTGCGCCTCTCTGGCAGTCAGCAGGGCTCACAATTCAAAGATGACTTTATCAGAATTTCAAACCACAATGTTTTAGTGCAATGTCCCAATAAAAATTCCAAGAAAATTTCAAGAAATAGGTCATTCCTTATTCATGTATGAATGAAAAAATATTTCTGCGTTTCCAAAGCCTGACCCTGGCGTAGAGGTGAGAGCCCTGAAGGCCTGTGCTGTCTTCTGGTGAGCAAAGGGACAGCAATAGTGAAGTCTTTGCATGCCAATCATACGATTAGCAAAGGTCTCTTCATCAACCACAAGCATGGACAAGATGCTTGGGTGGTTGGGCAGGCCTGTAATTAAGCAAATTTTCTGCATATGCAGAAATGTGAGTAGTGAAAACCAGTGGCCAGCCTCTTGACAAGGCTGAATTTGACGCAAAAGGAGTGCAGGAAGGATGAAGCGGTCCCTCAGGGGCAGCGCCGGTGGCTTGGGTAACCGCTGCTGCTGGGGGTTGCTCCCCGCCTAGCACACCCCGAGAGCGGCTCTCTGCAAATGTCCTGCGAGCAAGGCAGGGTCTACAGGGAGAGGTAACACCTTTCACTAGACCAGTTAGGGTGGCTGGCAAAAGGAGACAGGACTTCAAATACGTAAAATACCCTCCTCTGGTGGAGTTAGAATAATCGTGCTTCTGTCCTTCAAACACCACAAAAAAATGCAAGGTCAAATGCAGGTTGGAGTCAATTGCTCAGAGCTGAATTAGATACGTATCACATCATTTTTGAGGTAGAGGTCATTGTTTCCTGCAGACTAGAAGGGATGTTAGCAGGAGGCGACGGGGACATGGTAAGCTAGTTACATCCTTGGGGAAAAAGAAAAGTAGGCAGCTTATAGCCTGTGGGACGTGGAAGGACAAGTGAAGGAGGAGAGGGAAGGGAAAATCTGTGCGGGAACACCAGTGTTGGGTCTGTGGGGGCTGATACCCAGCACGTCTCCCCACAGCCCAGGCCATCAGAGCCGGACCTTTTGCTGCTCGACACGTGCGCCTGCCTGGACGGAAACCAGCGGTCAGTGAATAACGCTGGGCACATTCACAAGACAGTAGAGCTCATCTCGCAAAGATGGCTGTGTCAAGGGTGAAGATGTGCTCACGAAACGTGTTGCTGCAAGCAGGACGTTTCGCAGTCTGCTCGAGGGAGCTTCTGCGTGGTCCTGCATGGTCTGTGGTGGCTTGGACTGCGTGTGAGAAGAAGTCTGCGTAAAGGCAGGGCAAGCATATTTGCTAAATATTGTCATCTGTACAGGTTTTAGGAACGCTGGTCTAAGCCCACATCTACAGTTAGACTGCCTTGAATTTTTTCGCTCTTGCAGTCTTTCTGAACTACACATTTCCCCACCATAAGGGAATTCTGAGCGGTAAAACCAAACCAGGGCTGGCGTGGTGCCCCTGTCCACGTTTAGGCTGCAGTTGGCTGCGGCGGACGCGGTGAGGCTGGGGAGGTCCGGCAGAGCTGGGCCTGGGAGCGCTGGGCCAGAGCAGGCTCTGCACAGCGCCGGGCTGCGCTCGCAAGCC